TGGGCCACCATGTGGCCCGCCAAGCCATTTTATCTGGCCCGCGGCAGCAGCAGCACTGCCGCCGTGGATCGCGGAGCTGCGGCGGTGGCAGCGCGGAGCTGCTGCGATGGGGCTGCACCAGTGGCACGGAGTGCGGAGCCGCGGTGGCAGTGGGGCCTCAGTGAGGCAGGCAGGGCGGGGCCATGGGCCCCAGCTGGCAGCAAGGGGAGGGGAGCTGCTTACCCCCGCAGGGCCCAGGGGAGCGGAGCCGTGGCAGCGGCAGTGCGAAGCGCAGGGCTGCGGTGGCAGTAGGGCCGCGGTGAGGCAGGCAGGGCGGGGCCGCGGTGAGGCAGGCAAGGCTGGCGCATGGGCCCCAGCCAGCAGCAAGGGGATGGGAGCTGCTTACCCCCTTGGGGGCTGGGGGAGCGGCCCCACGCAGGAGGGCAAGCAGCAGCCACTGGCTCTGACGGCCCGCGCCTGCCTCCTCACCCACCTGCTTGAAGCCAGCCCCACTGCCCTGTCCCACAGCAACGCGGCACCTGCTCGCTGCCCCGGCCAGTCTCCCCGCGGGCGCTGCGGTTCTCCGGGCCCGGCTGCCCACGCGCGAGGCCCCAAGGGGGCTGCTTCTCATTTGCGGCTGGTACGGGAGGAGCCTGGCCGGGTCTGCACTGGCCAGCAGAAGCGGCAGCAGAGCCGTGTGCTGCTTGGGACGGGACAAGCCTGCACCCGGCACAAGCCTTCACCGGTCAGTCCCGAGCGGCACACGGCTCTGCCGCCGCTTCTGCTGGCCAGTGCAGACCTGGCTGGTCTCCTCCTGTCCCTAGCAGCACATGGGAAGCTGGCTTCAGCTGCATGCTGCTTTTCCTGGCCGGTGCCGACTCGGTTATGCCCAGGCGGGTCCTGCAGCACCATGTCAACCCTGGCATGGCACCAGCAGGCCAGGCAGGCCCCAGGTTAACCCCGGCCTGGCCCCGCGGCTTCTCCAGCACCAGGTCAACCTGGTTGTAGCCAAGTGGCTCCTGCAGCACCGTGTCAACCTGGGCATGCATGCTATGTCAACCAGCACCATGTCAACCCCTGCAACTTCATTGGTGTCAAAGGTCACGTGACATCACTTCCTGATATGATACCACTTCCTGTGATGTCTTTGAATATGGCTCACCGGCCCACTGGGTGATAAAAAGTTCGTGATCCGGCCCCACATTCAAAAAGGTTGGACACCCCTGCCCTATATGCTGTGGCCCTCCCAATGCCTCTGACCCAATTGTGGAAAAATGCCACAAAGTATCCTTATGTGCATTCACTTGAGCAGACAAGTTAGTATTTTTTTTCACATTCATAACCATCAGAAAGAAAAAACAGCTATAGGTAACTGCATAGTTAATGTCATTACATATCTAGCTTTTTGTTTGTGCACAATCTGTGAGTTAATTGGTCCTGAAGGTGATTGTGCATATGTGTGCATGTAAAACTATTTTTAATCTGTTTTTTAATAGCTTATAATAATATGAATATCTTCTTTACTTAGACTTTTCCAGTGCATTATTGGGAATTTGCCTACATACGTTAATTGGTGTGAAGTGCTGAGCAGTGTGCACCTGGGTTACTGAGAAGTAGAGCATGTGCCTGTGTGTGTGTTTCTGGGAAATTTCTTTTTGATGCTGTGGAATACAATTTGTGTCCGCTGGCTGGGAGAGTGAAAAATGAGGACTGGGTGGAAGGGCTGGGACAAAGGCAAAAGGGCAGTCGCCTAGCAGGAACAGATGGTTTCAGAAAAATTTGCAGGCTTGTATGATAGAAAAGACATTGGCTATAGTGACTAGCAGGAGCACTGATGTGGCCACCCACAGTCTGTAGACAATTGTCAATAAGTTATTAAAGAAAACTTCTATTGTAATAATTGTGGTATTCCTCAGTGTGTTGAAATTTGAATAGTTAGTTATGCTTGTCCAAAATGAATATCAATTATCATCAAATCGGAATGGCACGCATGACTATACATGGTACAAGACAATAGAAAATAAGGCCCACAAAGTATATCTGCTCACCTGTGTTAAGTAGAAGGAATTCTCTACTGTGAATTATGGTTTCTTTCTAGTGATGAAGGTAGATTTTAATTGGACTTCTTCATAATTTGTTGGGCATTTTTTTTCAAGTTCTAGGGGTCATTAAAATAATAAATTTTAAAAAATCTGATTATGGTAAAGAATTATTAAGTATCTCTTTTCATGCCCAAAAAGAAAGGAGAGTCAAAAAGAAAGGAATGGGACTATTTTTAAAAGTGGATTTGGGGAACTAAAACTGAAGTAGAACATTCCTAAAGAATGAAAAAGTTTCAATATGAATCTGAGCATGTTAACTGTTCACTGGCTCTGTAACAGGTTGGACTCAGCCCCCAGATATAGAATCCTAAACTTTTTGAAGCTTTGTATCCAGTTGGGAAGATTAGGTCCAGCCTGACTACAAACATAACCTAAGTGAGGAATCAGAATGTGCCCAGAAGGAACACAAACAATCCCTGGGCTGGGAGAGGAAGGAAAGTGGGTGGTTTGAAATGTGGTAAGTTGTGGAATTTATGGGTAACTTGAAAAAATGCATTTTAATGGACAAAACATTTTCAGTCCTTATGAAGTAGCTTGACATAAGGGAGAAAATAACATTTCCTATAATCAAGGTGCCGGAAGTTGTTTGCCAGTCACTAATGCCTTTAGGGAAATCTAGTAGCAACCCATGTAAATGCAAGAGATATTAGTGGAGATTGGCGCCAATTTCTCTAGGACAAAAGCATAAAAGACTGATGGTTTGATATGCCCTATCTTTCATTTGTTTGCAGAAATTGACATAATTCTTGACTACCCTGTTCCAGAAATTCCTGGAAAATGCTTGTTCACATTTCAAGTGAAACTGTTAATTGGAACGGGTTTTTTTATCCAGAGTAGAATGCTGTGGGATAAAAGTATGGTAAAACTTCTCTTTTGAAATTAATGAAGCACTCTTATTGCCTAGAAAACTATCTTAAGTACAAAAACCACAAACAGGAGGCCATTACAAGACTAGTAGATCTGTAGTCATCATGGGGAAGTGGTGGTGAGCCCAACATGTGGGCAGGATATGTTTTTGCAGGAAGAATGAGATAGGTGACTGTCCCAGGGGGACAGCCACTGGGAGACCCCTCCCGTGGTGGGACTTGGGATCGGGAAAGCCCGCCTCTACAAAAAAAGCCCTAAAACCAGGGAAAACTTACCTGTTGCAGGAGGAGAGAAGGTAGACGAGCTGCACCAGAACAAAACAGCCATGCGGTTTGTGAGCCATGTTTATTTCTGGCTTGAGCCGGCATGGGTGGGTGACTTCATCTCTGGACACCGCCTGGCCAGAATAAAAGCCAGCATCAGGGGAGACACCAGGGAAACACCGCAGGAGGCGCACGGCAAGGGTGCTTCCCATGCCAGGCATGCACAACGCCGGCATGCAGTGGGGGACAGGGTGCCGGAGCATCAGGAAGGGTCCTCAGCAAGGGAGAGGACCTCAGACAACATCAGGGGACGATGAGGACTGTAAAACAATGTATCCGTGAGTGGGGGGGATGGGTCAGGACCCTACCCTGGACTGCTATTGAAATCCTTTTGTTGTTTTTCTTTTGTTTTTCCTTTCTGATGGGGACCAGCCCCAGGAGGCCCTGAGGTAAGGGCAGGGGCATAAGTGGCACTCTGAAGTAGGAGTGACTGAAGAGCCATGGCCAACAGCCAGGCTTAATCAAAGGTCCAGCAGGAGGCCGGAGCAAGTCAAGATGCCCCAGGAGCTCAGAGGTTGAGACGAACCTATCATCTCCCTCCCCACGAGAGAAGCAGGAAGAGATGACACTGGAGGGCAAGCTGTGTTGTCACCAAGGGGCCATCCTAGAGGCTGGCGCATGGTTGGGGTGTAGGGGAGGCAGATTCTCACAGATACCCGCCGAGGATTGCAGCCAATCTGAGGGAGCCCACTGAAAGGGAATCTACCACTGAAGATATCGTCAAAGTCATGGCAGGAGAGTCCCTGGACTTTCCCCGGGGTGACCGTGGGCTCATTCAGAGATTGCTGTAACCCGCGGAGCAGCCAATACCTGGCGCACACACCAAGGCCACACACAAGCACATTCTCGAGACCAAGCGGGCACAGTGACCTGATGCACTATTTGTGGTCTAGTTCATTCTTTGAAGAAATAAGAGGCAAATGGATCTCTTCATGAGTGTAAAATTTTAAGTTCTGTGCTAATGAAGCAAAAATAATTTGGCTCCTCTCTAACAATTTACAGCCTGTCTTCTAGTCTGTGGGTGCATACTCTACTTGCAAAAAGGGTCAAAGCAAATACAATTCCCTATTTTTAATGTTTTTTTCTACTATTTATATTGCTTCATTTTATTTGTTTTTATGTATCATCATATATTATCAATTCTACTTTTGGTTAAATTATGTGAATGTGATGGTACACTTTTAACTATAACCACAAATCATATAATTTTATTAATATATAACATTTAATTTTATTGTTAATTATACTGTATCATTTTAGTGAAACCTGTAAATAAACTACTAGTCCTGTTACTACAATAAAACTTTTGTTTTAAAATTTTCTTTAAAAAGGCCACTGAAAATATTCACATTGGATTCACTGGGCCTGGAGGTCTATATTTAATGGAGCTTTCTTTAGCAGCTACTGGCAACTTCCAGTGGGACTCAAGTATTTTGTACATTTATTCAAAAAACACTTTCTACTACATACTTTTTGCTATTGACTTATTAACCAATTCACAGTATTGCCTGTCCTTTACAACTGTTATTATTTTGTTCATCATTGTTAGTCAATTTGGAGACCTACCAGTCTCTTGTAATTACCTTAAATAACATGGAAAAATGCAGTTCATACTTCTGTTTTCCTAAATGAATAAACTTTTATGGTTTCTTTTCATATAAATCATATTGACAATATTTTTCTTTATTTCATTCACAGATCTCCCTCCATTAATTTGCTTCTTCCTCCTAAATGATCTGATACCTCTTATCACGGAGCACTGAAAAATAAAGGTAGTTCATCGTTTTAGCCTTTTTAGCCATTATACTGCCATATATATAATATGTTAGAATCACATACTGTAGTCTTAGAAATGAAGCTACTTGAAGTTGGTACTAACCTGCCTCTTGCATCAGTGAAAATGGATATTGTGATTGCTGTGTTGAAACGTATGCTCAAATGCATTGGGAGTTTTATACTATTTTTCAAACTGCCAAATAGATAATGTCAGAACATTTCTGAAATGGGATACTAACATCAAGATATACTGCACCAATCAGCAAACATCAGGCAAAGTATAGTATAAAACTACAGATGTAGGAGACTACTACACAATTTCCATTTTCATTCCCTATGTCAACAGCTTTGTAACTTACCTAGTAGATTGTTTTATGTTTTCCAGACAAATTCTCAGTAGACTACAAACACTACATTCAGCTCAGCCTTCAGAACCCAAAGAATTAGATATGCTGTAGTTTATGAAATGGATGTTTATGAAAGTATCCTTTGTTTGAATTGCTCAAAAACCCAACATGAATTCAAACTTTGACAGCGTAAGCAGAAAATAAGAGGGCCATAGTGATCTCCCAAATGTAGCCTTAACTATTGAGGTTCTCATATTGAAAATGCAATTTTCTGTCTAGATGTTTATGAATGTCTTCAAATTCCCTTTCATAATAGCCCCTTTTTGACAGGCCTTTTTCAACTCTGAAATATGAGAAGAAAGGTTGCTGCAGAATACAGCATATACCATTACAGTAGGTACACCCACTGTCCCTCTAACCAACAATACTCTTATGGAAGTCAGTGATGATATAGGGATGCTTAAGACAGTGGCAGACTAAAATTCTATATAGTAATGCAGGATTCTTCTACTGTGTCCCACTGAACTGCATGTGACAGTTTGGGGAATTTGTCTTTGTAAAATTTATAAATTTGACTGATTTTAATAACTCAGATGACTCTAACATTCAGTATATATTTAATCAATTATTCTTTATCAAATCCTGTATGGAAGCAGATACAGGAAGATCAAAATATCATTAACACTGACTTAGCTCAGGTAAGAAATGCATATGCTAAAAAGAGTGTCTAAATTTAAAAAAAAAAGGTAAGGTTTCTTTAGATTGTCTGCAAGGGCTAGAGTTGGAGCAATGGAAAGTCCTCAAGCTAAAAAGAGCTTATCTTAGGGGAGGAAAGGTGAAAGAGAGCTTCTGACAAAAAACGGATGAAATAGAGGAAAAGGGTGTGAGAGGGGAAGTACACCCCTGAAAGAACTTGACCAAAAGCCAAAGGTGCTCAGAGCGGGGAGAAAGTAGAAAAGCTTTGCATGCAAGGTTTTGTTCTTTTTCCCCTATAGATTGGTATATTTCTAGTGACTTCTCTATAAGTAAAGTATGTGAACATTTAGAAATTCCTGTGTGGAGTTTGTTACTTGTGTTTATTGCCATGTAGTCGACAAAGAAGGAAATAGATATTCCTAAGCTAGACAGTCCACAGCTTTGGTGGAAGTCTGAGAGCATGCAGTAGTTCCTGGGCAGTTTGGAAAAAGCACAAAATGTCAGAGTCCAGACAATTAGACTGCCAAGAGGATTGGCAGACATGGGGTGTTCACCTGGAGTATATTCCCTGATGTCCAGAGCTAGGAAATTAATGCTGAAACTCCTCCCAACCCCAGTAACCCCAACAAAGACCCAAAGTTTCAGTCCAGTACAATGGCCTGATGAATATTCAGAAGGAGGAGCTTATTAAAGTTATGATCATGGACATTTAAGATTGAAAGTAGTTGCTCCCAAGTTGTGCTGGCAAGTAGGTCCAGTTATCAGAGAGGGAATGTGAGTATCTCTCTGCAATAATGAGAGCTATCCTAGGGACTGTTTCTAAAGGAAAATATATTTTTTAAGGTATGTTTGCCACAGGAAGAGCATATGAGAGACCAAAGTGTCACAGGTACCTGAGACTCCAGGAGGAGCCAGGGAATTGTGAAAATGTAGGTGGCTATAGAGCTGTGTTTGTCTGAAACCAGGAATAAGGTAAGGCAAGGTGGCAATTTAAAAATTAACCTGTTCAGAGACACATGACCTTTCATAAGCAACAGCTTACATCATCAGATGCTGTTAATCATACAAAGTAGGTTGCTGCCTATGAAAGCTTATACCTCTCTGAACCCGTAAATCTCCAAGGTGTCTTCTGCACTACCTTCCTGTAGATGGCTGTGAGAAACAAGGTGGGGAGACATACTGAAAGTTTTGAATACCCAGAGCAGAGGTCTCTTGAAAATGTTGCAGCTACTCAAAGTCACAGAATCAGAAATGCATTGTAATCCTACTTTGAGGTGAGAGGGCATTTGTGAATAATGTATATGCTTTTGTTTTAGTTTTTAATTATTATTGCTGCACATGCCTTATGCATATGTGTACTGTTGCAAAGATTTTACAGTCCTTCATGTGTGCATTTTATCATAGTGCCTGTGGGAATCTTAGTACGCTTTATGTGTAGACTTTACTACAGCGCACATGTGGAGTTTAATATAGTGCTGTGTGGATTTTATGACACTAAAGGTCGGGATTTTAATGAATTGTGCAGACTCAAAACCATGAATGTCAAGACATTTTTGATGATTGTTAATAAATAACAATTAATACACCAAGTTAAATGTTGTGAGCATTACAACAATGGGATATGCATATTTTGTTCAAAGTTAATATCCAGTAAATTACTAAAAATCAAATGAACTATTACATGAGTTAGTGTTTTCAGTGTTATAAATATGTGCACATATGGGGGTCAAAATGTGGGGTAAAGATAGGGATCTTGGGAAGCAAGGGGTGAGGGACTCTCCATGGGTGTGTCCATATTGTCCTAGTGGGACTCTCCATGATTGTGTCCTAGTGGGTGACACAGAAGTGCAGCATGCGCTCCCCATGCATGCTAAACCCCAAAAGTTTTTAATGCAGCTCCCCCAAGTCTCATACTAGGCACATAAGCTCTGTCATAAGCTCTCTGTTGTATATGTGTTTACTGGTTTATGCCCAGTGCTGCACTAAGAGTGGCTGTTTACTTCCATGTTCTTTCGTGTGGCTAAATTCATGCCATGTCTCAATAAACTTGCTTCTAAAGTAAGTTCAATAATGCATGTTAAAATGCCGAATGATTCACAAGAAAAAAATCTTGTTTATGAACACTAGAAACTTTAATGCAAAATAACTCATGTTGCTGTAGAATGAAATTCAAATTTAGTCAAGCTCTTAGGAAAGATGAAAATGTATATCCTGAAAGGGTCAGAAGAATACTGAAACTGATTGCACTCATGAGTCTGACAAAAATACAAAAATCCTAGGCAAATCCATGACAAAAAGAAGCCTGAAGGACGATAAGCAGGAACCTCTGAGTCATAATGAAGATAAAACTTGTATTTTTAACAAGCTGTATTTTTAGGAGAAAGACATCAGGATGAACTAATGAGGAACTGCTTAGTGCCCTATATTTGCAGATCTCATTTTAGAAGTTCCTAATTTTTGTTCTAATCTTATGTCACCCTCTGCAGTTGTACTGATTTTTGTCTGTCATTTTCATCTGTAAACTGACACTGATTTAGAAGTGGAAAAGAAACATCAATATAATTTCACACGACTTAATTTAACTAATTGTTTAATAATGTAAACAAAAATGACTGGGCCATAGATTACCAAATTACATTTTCACTTTCAATAATATAGTGCTTACATTTTTGAATGATACACATGTGATTCCTAATTCTAAAGATACTGATTCTAAAGATATTTTTACTACTGCTGTCCAATGTGTTTGTTTGCTTGTTTTTTACTCTTTTACATTCCAGTCAAAACCATTTCTTCCCAGATTTTTGCTTGTTTTTCTTTTCTTTTCTTTTTTTGTTAAGTATATCCTGTCCATTCCTCAGTACAATCTTTTCATGTTGCTACTAATTTGCTTTGATCTCTAGTTTGGAACTGATGAGCTACAGCTTCCTGATTGCTGAGCTTTGCCAACAGTGCTCCAAAGATGTTATTATGTCAAGAAGAATCCTAGAACTTGGGCAAAATAAAATCAAACCAGCAGTGGTCCCCACTGAAAAAAATACTGTATTTTTATATGATGTGTTTTGAGAGAATAAGATTATAGCAAGTAATCTTTGAAGTGCTTCTAAAAGTGTGCCTGCACATCTAATTTATATAGGGCCTGATCCATGCACAGGGCATGATTCTAGCATGTAATGCAATAGTATACCCTTTTCCCCACATTCTTCTCCATGTCTCCATAGGTCTGTAAGACAGGCTGGGGATGAAAAATGCTATGGGGTTGCATAAATTATCCCCCTACTAGTCTTTGAAGCACCTCAAAAGAGGAAAATACATAATTACAAATTAATGCCTGCCCTCTGTAGTGGGAAATTCCCATGTGAGAGTGTGGAAAGGCATGCCAGGGCAACCATCAATATGAGAAGTCCCGTTAGTGTGTTTTCAGAAGGTCTGTTGTGGGATGAGGTAGAAACTAGGGTCTCAGAGCCAGTTTGAAAGTAGAAAATTTATTAGGAATGGGGCATGGGGCATACCAGGCTGGTAAACTTATGCCTCCATATGCAGAAATTCAGGAGGAAGTCCATGCAGAGATTTTCTTTTTTTATTTGGCAATTGGTATCAATTAAATTATATAGTCGCTGGTTAGGAGAGCTAGCACAACATTATGCTCTAAAAACGCCTGCTCCCTTCAGAAACAGCTGAACCATTCTCTTGAATTTAACTGCTGCTTGAATTCTCAAGTGTATTTCAGGGAATATTATATATGTAAATATGCCAATTGTGCCATAGTATCATCATACTAACTTATGGCCAGATTTGAAGCCCTTACCCAAGGCAAAATGCCATTAAAGTCAGAGGGAGCTTGACCTGAGTGAGGACTCCAGGATTTGGTCTGTATATTTTTATTTTTGTGCATTTACATTTTTTTTAAAAAAGTTGTAGTAAAATAATACTCTGACTGGGATTTATGAGAG